AACTGCAAGCGCTCAATAAACATGACAGAAGCAGATGAACAATGTTGTGCAGAAAACTGAACAAATGCATTGTCCTGACCCTAAACGGGGCTCTACGGTATGCTGCAGGAGTGTGTGTTAACAGGATTAAAAAATAATAATGCGTTATTATGTTTACGTTAATCACATGCATTAACTTATATGTTAACTGTGACAGCCCTTTTATATATCCACACACATATATACAGACATATACATACATATCACACACATATACACATATATGTAGATATATATGCACACATGTATGTAAGTATATAACATATACACCATTATACCATTATATAAATGTTTAGGAGATTTTACGCTTCACCAAACACAAATTGGGAGCAAATCGATATTTCATGACACTCTTGGATGTTTTGCTCTTACATTATTGATTTATTTCTCACTAAATGAAACAGATCCATCGTTTTCAAACGGCCTTTTCCCCGTCGTATGGCTTCCATGTTGGAAACACGCTCCCATTGATCTCCTTGGCCGGAGACAGCCCCTCCTGGGCGGCTCCCTGCGCACAGTCATTTTGCCGACCCTCGCCTTTTAAATTTTTACTCCAGTGGCACGACGTGCAAACGACAAGGGGGTGTGGGGGGGAGAAGTGCTATACATGCACTCCAAGTTTCACTTATTGATTTCTTTTTGAAGCAGACGGAAAAACAGGAGTTCAAAGCTAGAAGGAATCTTTTTTGATCGCCATTACAGGTGAAGTGAATGAAATGTTGCAAAAATTCCTTTGTTCTGCCAACTTCCAAATTCAAAACCATCCTATTACACTACAGCACATTTCATTTGGTGACCAGTGGAGGGAAAAGCCTGGGACCTATGAATGTAACCTGTTTGTGAATACATCCTGCAGCCCTGCAGGCAGCCTCCCCTAACGGCACGAGCACACTAATGACGGGGCCTTTCTCTCACAGATTCACTTCAGCATTATAGTAACACTTCTGAATAAAAATTATAAATAGTTTTTTATCACGTCTGGGGATGAAGGCCAGGTGCTGTGCCACTGTCCATACAAGGGATGGGTTAGCGAGCCTCTGCGGACAGGAGCATGGAGATGGAGTCTAATACTGGTACGTCCTTCTGGTCTTGAAAAAGCACCTGTATGTGCATCACTTCAACACCTGCTCTGCTCCAGAGCTCATTCCTGCACAGCTGGGTCACACTGTCTCTTTCACAAGAAATATACTTTTCAGAATCTTGTACAAAGTTTATACAACATAGAGAGCTTTTCTGTAAATCTCGTCAAAATAATTTTTCAAAATAACTATTTCTAAAGTAACTTAAAATATCTAGCACACAGCGTAAACTCTGTATTTTTGTACAAAAGGGGTGAACTTTACCAAATTTGTTTCTCATTGTGCACAGGCGTCTTTGGGTGGGAGTGAGAAGCCTTCTCCAAAAAAGGTCATTTTGCTGAAACGCATGCTTCTTTAATCAGCAGCTGCAGCGCAGTGCCACCCAGATCTGCATGCAGTCTCCAGTGCTACCCGGCCTGATTACCCAGTTGCTCCCCAGTGGGCTCTATGGCACCCAGCCAAAGAATTACACGGGAGGGGGCTCAGGGCAATGGAGTGCACCCAGCTCAGGTCGTTTCAGCAGGGAATGAGAGCGCACGGTCACAGATCACGTAGCCAGAAGCAGCATCTCTCTCTCTCTGAGGATGGCTTGATCCAAAATGCAGATGTCCCTCATCTCCCCCTAAAACACGGCTGCTCATAGCTGCTTGGCATGGTAGACAGCTGGCTGAATCTCAATGCCAGTTTGTGATCTAGATGGTGATGCAGTCGGTGGGGGGGGGGGGCTCTGTAGACTGGAGAACCTGCATCATTCCACATTGCTAGCTAGTATCCAAGGAGGGACAGAGTACTGAAAAAAATCAAAGTAAAGGTACTGTTACTTCCAAAAAAATGTTGGAGTAGAGTAAAAGTACCTCTCCCCAAACCTACTTAAGCAAGAGTAAAATAGTGGCTTGTATTTCTTCAGATTGAAAGTGGAAACCCTAATTGCAAGTGTTTGTGACCAAAAGCTTCTGTAGATCGTGTTGATTCTGTAGATCCTACTGGATGGTGATGTGTTGAGTAGTGAAGTAAGTTAGCCGTATTTCCATCTGGCAGAAGTTTTCAGAAGAGTTTACAATACACCGCACCAGACTTTAAAATTGCCAAAAGATGTGGCTACTGAACTGTCACTCTCTTCACCAACACCAAAGTTTCCTCTGAGGAAACACTCGTCTATAAAATTAGGGATTCTCAACCTGACTTCTACAGAAGAGTTTGCAGTGGAGGGGTACTGACAGATCCATGTGGGATTTAATAAGTTTATGAGTTTCCTTTCTTACAGATGCAAATAGAACACGTTGTAAAAATTGAAAATATATATTTTTTTCAAAATCAACCAACTGCTCCAAAAACCCCCCAGTGTGCCATAGCCCGCTGGAATGCTGGCAAAGGATAGGGGGGCCATTTTAAGTCATGAGTATTACCAAGACATGGCCAAGGATCGGGAGGCCATCTTAACTCACAAATATTACCAAGACATGTAACGTGTTCCGGTAACTTGGTGGTTCTCAATCCTGTTCCTGGTGCTCCCCCACGCCAGAACTCACACTGCCTTCAACCTGCCACATTCATTATTAGCCTATTAAGGACTATATGAGCTTGATTAAGGTAGGGTTGGAATGAAAACATTCAAGGGGGAGGGGGGCACAAAGAACAGGATTGAGAACCACTGCTATAACCATCAACCTAGCTGTACTTATGTTGGCTGTCCGTTATTAAAAGACTGCTATTTAATTGGTTGGAATTGCATTCATTTCTGTAATGCAAGTTATCAAGCAATGTCCCTTATCAACAGTTTTTTGAAGTTTCTCAGGGTCTCATTTAAATTTTATAGAAAGATAAGTTGATGTATCGTTCAAATTGCCAAGCCTTGCCTAGTAACGTCGTAATGTTCAAATCTGTAGTGAAGCTTCCCTTTTGTTTTTCAGAAACAGTGGGAAAAAACGAATCCTGTGACAGTTCCCAATGTTGACTGACAATGAAAAACAGTAACAGCTCTCATGCCTGGCATTGAAGTAACCCCGACACTCAAGTAACAGAAACAATACTAAAATATCAGTATAAAAAAATTTCAAAATAATGCTATTTTAATAATACATTTTACAGTAAACAACTAAAAATAACTAAGAAAAGCATTGCACAATACAAATGCCAGATCATGCATGTGTCTAAATAGCAGCCTTTCCGCTAGTTTACCTAATGATTTCTTTTGTTGCTTGCTTATCGACTGAAATAGCAATACAATAATCATTAAATCTGTGGATAAAAGGATTAAAGTGAATGCAAGAAATTGGCTTGAACTAATTCTTTTCTCCTGTAAACTACCGCATGGGCCAGAGGTACATATGGTACTATGGTACTTGCAAATGTGTAATGTATAAGAACATAAAACATAATAGGAAATGGGCACCGACATGTAAACAAACTGAAATTGGGTTTTACCCACAGGTACCTTCTGACACTGACATTTATGCAGACTTCCAGCAGCTTTACTTCAGGAGCCAAAAATATTCATCTTCTGTTTTGAAGTAGCCTTTAGTTTTTGTTTCTTGACCAACTACTATTATAGTGCAGGGGACCTTTTCGGTATCTCTTTTATCTGCTTGTTTGTTTTTAGCCAGTATAGCTCAGAGAGATTTTCCTAAAACAAGCTAAAGCTAACCTTATACTGTGCGAACACAAGTTAATGAAGTGAGTATCCAGGGTCAGCTGGCTGGAGTGAGATTTTCAATTCAAGACAAGTCTGTACACACATTTACATGTATGTAGCAGTTGTATTACCTCGTAAATAGTCTATAGGGTTTGCAAACTACCCCAATGCTTTTGATGTAGCTAATTTTACATTTATAATGAATTAATACAGAATTTGCCTTAAGGAGTTCTTGCATGAGACTCAGAAAGCATGTCACGTCAGATGCAAGAAAGTTAGCAGCCCCAAGGTATCTAACTAGTTAAGATTACCTTCATTGATCGAAGGCGGAAATGCCGCAGCAGCCTTACTGCAGCTTAGTAATGGTAGTGATAGTTTACAATAAATTACTAATTTGGTTACCTATCTAAGATTTAACTGCAAAAGAAGTAAATAGTTTAGGCTAGTCAAGTGCTGACAGCTAAAAATGACAATGTTGTGGTGTGTATAATGCTTGTAGCTAGCTGGCCAGTATGAAACAATGTGATAAAACCGTAAGATAAAACTAATTTCTAAGGCACGTATGCATTTGAATGCATGTATCTTAAAACCAACATGACAGACAAAATTATTGACCTTCTTGGATTTGACTTCAAAAAGCTCCCACGTGCGGCTATGGATGCGCTAGTTCTGTAGTCTACGTTAGCTTTTTAACCAAGCTATTGTGAGAAAATGCACACAGTAAGTGCAATTTGTTATGACTGGCCAAGGAAAATGCATGGTCCAGTTGCTGCTGGTGGAGTAAAAAGAATGGGAAAACATCACAGTGCTACCGAGAAGCAGCAAGGCTGATGTAGCATTACAGCGCTTCATGCGGATTCGAGTGTACCAGTTTTAAACTACCCAAAAAGAAAAATCTAGTCCCCCCCTTCCACATCGCAGGGGTTACAGGCACAGGCACCCGGCAATCTGGGGAAAAAAAACGCGTAACACTTTTTGGTTCCCTTGGCGGGAAAAAAGCAAAAATAGGAAGCGCGAGATGCAGTTATCACTGCAAGATAACAGATATCACGTGAGAGGCTACAGTAAACACACTTGGAGTCCTCCAAACTAGCACTGCATGCATAGCTTATGCATTTACGAGTTACTAAACATTTTGTGTGTCGGCTGCAGCTTTTGCAAAGCTTTAAAAAAAAGAAACCGCGTTGGGGAATGTCGAGATGCAGAAGAGTCGACTATACTCAGTTACGGTAAGGAGAGTATTTGTAGTTCGTTACTTTATAACCTTCCAGTCTCCCACTTATACACTTTTATAAGAAGTTCCAGAAGAAAGATCCAACTAAAGTATTACAATTACAAATGATGATGAACTATCGATTCAAATGAGAAAACGTACTGATCCCCAGAAAAACAAAAGCTAGATGTGTATTTAGTCTCTTTTTAACTGGAGTTCTTTACGTAAATTAAAGTCTTTAATTCGTGTTGCTTTTATTAACAATGACATTGACCCAAACTGAAATCATCCCTTCCGAACATTTACAAGAGCCGAACACAGGAACATCAATGGCGACGTCACATTGGCCAGATGACTCCTCCATCCAATCGCTTTTGCCTCCGGTAACGTGAACTCACGTTGGCCGCGTGTCATGCTTTAACAATTAAATTGGTCGCGTTAAAGCGCGGTACTTGGATTGGAAGGCGTAGCTAGTAATATTCCTGTCACAAACACTACAAACAGCTATTACCTATGTCACTGCCGCATCCTGCCAGCTGGAGACGCCTCGACGACGTGGTTGCTAACATAAAGCAGCTGGTAAGATGGCACTAAAATTTTAGTTTTAAATATCTCCTGGTTTTGGGGAACATATTAACCGAAAAACCGCGACTCTGAATAGAAACAAGACTCCTAGTATTTATCAGAACAGAAAGTTTGCTGAAAAACCTAACAAACTTCATAATTATTTTCTTTTATTCCAAAATCTAAATTAACCGAGTTTCAAAGGACATTAATTAAATATCTGCCGTTGCACTGCTGGATTAAAAAAAGCGCGACCACAGCGCGCACTGCATAACTGAGCACAGCTGTCTGCTACCTCCCTTACCAACGTAGTTAGCTAATAATAACTTAAGGTCTGTCTTTCTTAATTTCATAATTACCTTTTCATTGTCTTAAGGACGAACTGGACTTTGCAGAAACAGAATTTATATGAGAATAACAGCATCCTAATTTCCCGCCATCAAAAGAGTGAGTTCGGTAAAAGCGCTACGCGGTGATAAGGAGGATTTCAGGAAAACATGAAAAGCATGTAATAAATATAACATCGATTTCACCTTACATTTCACTGTGTTTAATAAGCCATTCAGTACAAGGTTCGGTTTGTCTAGACTATTTCTTTGCTCTGCTCATGCTCAGACCTGTCAAGCTAAATCTCCTCATTTTGAGGTATTGTTACCAAGACAAATGAATGAATCAACACACAATATGTTTAGATATAATTAGATAATGTATAATGACTCAAGTTTTGTTAAATTTTGACAGTTCTGCTGGATTCTTTTTAGAACACACACACACACATCTTGTCTTCCTCCCAGCATGCACTGCTCACTAGCCAGCTTAGGAGACCTCATCTATTGCTTAGCCTCTCATTTCACCTGCAAGGTGGCTATGAAGATCAGTTATTTTCAGGGGAGGGGGGAAAATTAGCTCTTTTTTGACTCATGAAATGACATTTTTTGTCCCAACCCAAAGAAGATTTAGGGCATATTATATCACCTCAACATAGAATAACCCACAAAAACATTTTGTTAAATATTATCCCATTCACTATACACTGCAATTAACTTGAATTAACTCAAAATGTGCATGCTTGTAGAAGGTGTGCTAAGTTATTGATACGTTTGTAGCCTGTGATATGTCCAAACCAAAGCATTCCTTCTAGGTGGCATGGAGTCAGTGGTATAGATTCCTGAGAAGTATGTCAGAAGCAAAAGGTGTTACAGGGTGAATGATTATCCAATCTGCCCAGCAGCACCTCAGAAAGCAATGCAGCAAAACTGTTGCATAAGCACACACACCAATGTGGAGACGTGCAGTAAAGCCGTGTTAACTGACTGCACAGGCGAACTTGCTTACTTAGTGGCTGTGAGCCATGGCCCTTCCTGAGCCAAGGAAGCTTGCACTCAGCAGGGATATGGCAGCCATTTTGACCCATAGTTAACTCTGATACAACCGTCACGCTAAGGTCTTTAGTTCACCAAAAAAAAAAAACAGATGAGCAACTGATGATATTTATAGCTTGGCAGTGGTCATTCCTAAACTAACACCATAAAAAAGTAAAATTAATAGAAACATCAATCCAGTCTGTTAAGGAGCAATTAAGAACCGTTCATGACCAAATAATGTTTTGAGCTGTTAGGTTTGCCACTGGAGCCTCAGCAGAGCCACGCTAGCTTACGCCATGTCAGCATCAAAAATCAGGCAAACAGCCTCATAATGACTATAAAGGCAGTAGAGGGAAAATACATTTTTCCAGGAATTAGAATTAATGGGAGCAGAAAATGATGCAACCCTTCAAGAGATGGAATTTAGACTGCTAAAATGGGATTTACAGGAAGCATGTGCAGCCAGCTGGCAGATACAAACATGTGTCCAAATTGCTGTTTCTGCACAACTTTCAGACTGCTTAGGGATTAGTGGGGTCGGACTATGATTAGGTACAAGCATAGAACTCTAAAGTGATATTTAAAATGAACCCATTGTGGGGTACTGGTGAAAGTGTGCTGAGTAGCCACTAACTGTCTCCCCAATCCCCCAGCACTGCCATGATGCCATTACATGTTCCTTTCTTACTGTATGCCTATCTCACCCTCACCCCCCCACTGCACCTCCACACAAACTTTCCCAAGCCACTTCATTACCCAGCTTCATGTAGAGGTCCCATCTCAACTTACTGGGCCTCCCTGTAGTCACATGCTACCCCCCCGGCGCCCCAGCCCAGCCTGCCCCGCCCAGACGCTAATTGGTAACTGTGCTGGCAAGCTGCACAATGAGACACCTGGAGTCCTGTCAAAACAAGTTTCTGTGTGAACAACACTGGAGTGGCCATGGTGACGCTGCAGTGTTCCCGGTGCCGTGGCTACGGCCCAGCATGGCGGGAGGAGGCCTGCATGCTTAAAAGAGCTGTCTGCCAAAATGAGGAAAGCATTGTCTCAGATCGTGCCAAACTAAATTAGTACTCTGATGGTACACTGAGCTGCAAATTACAACTGTGCAAACTAACAAAACGACTACTTCCATGTGTTTTAGAGTTTGTTGCTTTTAAAAAAAAAAAAAAAACTCTGAAGTTCGATGAGATAAATGGCTTGAGAGAAACCAAAGGTGTCCCATCTAGACTATGCCAGTCTGTATGTTTTACTCACTCATTCACCACAGTCCTTAAGCAGATCATGTTACACCACAAGAGTTCAGCCTTGACAGGCCAGTTACACACTACCCCTTACCTAGTTAGTTATCATTTGCATAACTGTTCGACTGATGTCTGAAACTATTAGCATTTTTAAGGGAGCACAAAACATCATGAACATGTATTTATTCCAACTGACAATCTGAACGCAGTCACACACATACAGTTGTGTACGCACAAGTGCCCACATGCCCAGCCTTTCCAGCCCAAGCTTGTTAAGCAGGCTTCAGAAACATTAAAAAGGGAAGAACACCACAAATCACCGTGCAAGCTGTATGTGATGATACCAATAGTGCCTTTTGGGACATTAGAGTTGTACATTCTGGAGTTCTTTGGTCTTTACCCAGTAGTCCCTAGCAGAGCATCACAGAGTGTTATTAGCTAGACACATGCTACATGGATAAGCATCTCAAGAATGGTTCTGCTGAACCAAGGCCAGCCCAATGCAACCTGGTTTTGTGGTCCATAAATGTGTTCTGCTAAGAAGCAGAACTCAGTGGAAAGGAGTGTGCTGTATTATAGAGCATGACACCATGGCCATTTCAGATTTAAAAAGTGCCACGTAAAAGTGTTACCTGCAGGGTGTATTTTCCTAAACTGCACAGAAATAGTGCTCAGCCTGGCACACCTTACCAAGACTGCCACACAATACTCTGTGAGCTGCTGTGGTTGGCAGCAGCCAGTGGCCTGCTGGGTTGCACTGGAACTGCTGTAGGTGCCAAAACACAGCTAACCAAATGAAGGAATGCCACAAGAGTGGGAAATCAAGAGCATCGAAACGTTTGTGACGGCGTGCACCAAAAACAGCCACACTTCGGGCAGAGTAGGAAGACAAGTTAGCACAGATGTCATTTGTCAGAATAAAACTGATCACTTTGTCCTCGTTTAGGAGGTGAGGATTTAAACAATCGGATCTTTCAATTTCCAATCAGTTGTTTTTTTTTTTTTTGTTCTTTGCTGTGTCTTATTACAACACAACACCCCCGGACTTATATCCAATTCGAGGACAGTCTTACTGTGGCCCTCTTGGGTATCGATTATGTGGGCAGACTCAGGTTAGTTTACCTTCATATAGTTTTTTTCTTTAAAACATTTTATCTCCAAACAACTCCAGTGGTGCCAGAAGCAGGCATCCATCATGTTTTCTATGGCTTACTACCACCTTGAATGACAGAAACCAAAAGCCTCACCCAGATCTGCAGAGGAACTCATTCTGCCATGTGAAGTATATTCCACAGCATGAGCAGAAGTGATTTGGATTTAGACATTAGTAAGTTTGTAACATCATGAAAAATCATCAGAAAGCCAATAAATGGGATTCCATTTACCCACTCAGTCCCAATCCACCAGCTTGATCACAAACTCTTCCTAGATCGAAATCCAGTAAAACCATAACAGAAACAATAATACAAATGCTGGGAGGTGGAGCTGGGGGGTGGGGAAGCAGGATGATGGGCGGTCCTGGGGGGCAGCCACGTCGGCTGCAGCGCACAGATGAACCACAACAGCAAGCAGGCAGCAGCAGCACATTTCATTTCTCTCACAGAAAAAAAGCTGGAATACTTGGAATTCAAATTCTCACCAACTGAAATTGGTGAAGGCTCAGATCTCCCTGTCCGGGGAATTCCAAGCAGAGGGGGGCCTGAAATGCAAAGACGCACAGTCCCGTGTCACACAATTATACACTCACAGCGTCCTCCGATGGCCGACAGCGCAAAGCATGTGTGTCGGAAAAAGAAGCCCTACGACCTTTTCATGATTATTATAATGACTATGCTGTGTTATATGGCCTGCTATGTAGAAAGGCCCAGCTGGACTATGCTGGATCACATCATATAGAGAATTTGAGAGCATCTGATACATGCCAGTCACAGCAGTCTGGCGGTTAATGCCAGGCCTCTGTCTCTCCCTGCAAAACTCATTACTTTGCTTGTTTATGAGAACATAGAGATCCATATGTTAATTCAGGGTGTTTCTTTGTCTTCTGTTCGGGGAACGTGTGCAGTGTAAGGGAGACATCAAGGACATGAATGAAACAAAAGAAACATGGAGAGAGAAACAATGTGAAGGAGACACATCTCTATAACGATTTATAAAAATGCAACTTTTTTTTTTTTTTTTTAATGCAAGACACATCTGAGGAGGTTAATTAGGAACCAGGCAAGATGGGTACATCTGTTGGGATTGAAAATAATATGAACAGAGAGGAAAAACTGTTCTGGCCAGTTATGGAGAGACTTATGTGAGCGAGCACATCCTGTAGGCCTGGTACCCCCTGCAGCTGGGCATGCTCACGCTACTTTGGTGAAAATGCACAGACAGCCAGGTGCACTGCATTACCCAACACTGAACGGCAGCACTTAAAACACACACTGACATCACCTTTGTTTACAAAGCCAGCCAGTTGTGATGGGGGCTGGACCAAGATATACATCCTGTATTTCCTGATGTAGGGACACGGATCTCTGGCCATTTTGTTTCTACCCATACTCGCCCATTGAACTAAGCAGGCATGTCAAACAGGACCTCACAGAGCGGCAAAGCAGAAATGCCTCACAAATGTTGGTGCGGTTTCACTTCCTAAGCAGGCAGGAGACCCAGCTGAACTTCCTACGGTTACTGAGGAATAGGCAGCTCCAGCAGCTCAGGGTATGAAAGACATTATTGAGGGTTTTAAATGAGCTCCCATTGACTGCATTTACTGTGACATCTACTTCACTGACTACATTAATTATTATCCTTTTATAGTGCAGAGCTTCCATTGGTTGGGAACACACAAAGCAAGCGAGGCTAAACTCAAAGGGAGAGCGAGTCAGGGAAGCCGGCCCAGCACAGGCAGCTCTGTAAGCGCTCTGACAGTAAACGGTGCTGCCTGTGGCCCTTGCCACTGTGCAGCCCCGACACGGCTACTCGATCTGGACCCCATCAACCCCCACTCTGTCTCAAGGCCCCAGCTTAAGGATCTCCTTGGCACAAAAGATAGCATTCAGCCATCGGAGATAATTCTACCCCTGAACTTGTGCTGTTCGAATCAGAGTGGGGGGGGGACAGGTCCTCCACACACTGCCCATCCTGTAGCTACTGTGAGCAGGAGCCCCATTAACTGTTGAGAGGTCACCTTGGCCAGCGGCTCAGTGTTCAGCCTGAGCTTTGCCTCAAGAGCTGAATGAAACAAAAACTGAAATAAGACCACATTTTTCCTATGCTGACCTGTGGCAGAAAATAGAAATCATAGGAGGAGCGCAGAGAAAGATGAACACTCAGAGTGACATCCCAGCACATCACACGTGTCCTACATGTGCCTCCCTCTGCTGGTATTGCATAACACTCCACCTCTCACTTAGCTGCCTTTAGCCTGTCCATGGCCTGCCACAGTCCCTCACCCCATCTGGCTGCCAGCACAGCCAGGAAATGGTTAATACTTGGGCAACCCCCCACCACTCACACCCTCCCGCAGCATGGCAGAGGAGGGGAAACAATGAAGCCATTGTCAGGTCCGGCGAGACTCAGAGGGAATGACATTGGTTGCCCCCCCCCCAACCCCACATGCTAGTTTTTTTTCTTGTTTATGCCCCAGTTTCCAGCACGTCAGTGTTAAAAACAGCCGTTAAAAGTTGATCCATACCAGAGTGGTACTCTGATTAGCCAGTGTATGTAAGTAGCTATGCCTGCCTGAGTCAGCTGGCTAGGCTAGGGTGGAGCAACATTATTGGCTAGATGTTGGCCAATGTGCAAGCATGCCTGTATGATGTGCCCGCTCTGATCCTTCAGTCTTGGCACAGCCGGGTCTAACTCAGTGAGGCACACACCTCTCACAGTCATGAACTTCAGTCAGGCATCGTTATCTTGCAGGCTATCGGCTACCCTTATCATTCATTTTCAAATGCGCATTCCTGCTTTGAAAGGTCAAGGTGCACAGGGCGTTGGAAATGAAAACAGGACCATAAAAAGTAGCACAAGTTTATCGATGAATTGACTAATGGGCCCACGACACAATGTAACCATATAAGCTATAACAATAACAAAAATACATTTCTACCCCAGAGATGGACAGGGAGCAGTTCTAAAAACAGGCATCCAAAATTCTCTTTGCGGACACTCACTTGATAGATATATAGGCTGAACACGTTATCTATATGTTCAGAGGCATGATGCAAACCAGCGCAATGTCAAATCTGCCAAATGCTAAATTTCAATGATTATTGTTTTTGAGAGGGAAGACAACATATGCATTGCTCCGTATTCTGTTTGTTCCTCAGAACTGATAATTACACCAAATGAGGACAGGTGTGTCTAATCTCAAGCATTTCTTCTCAGACAATTAAGATAAAATCCATGAAAAATCTGTAACAATAAGAAAACTGCATTTGCTCCATTTTCTTTTAATTCCTTTCCTCTTACAAAACAGCCATTAGTCAGGTATAACACCTCATCTGATAAGTATTTATAACTGCAACACTTGTGGCAGGTTAAATCCTAAATATTTATCTACATGTTAACTGCCTCCTGATTTTTAAAGGCAGTTTGTAGCACTGACTGTTACAGTTTCCAATAAAAAGCAACATTACAAATCAGGCTTTCCAATGGGAAACCTTCCTGGAAACAAGCCACCAGGACCTTTGAAAATTATTTAGATTTTTAAAAAGCATTTTGAATAATCAGGTTTTTAGCAGCTATGGAAAATGAATGGATGGATTGTCATGTTTCTTGTAACTGTTGCAAACCTACTCAGATTAATCTTGATTTCTAGTTCTTTTTTTTTGCTTAAATCGTTTTCTCATTACAGTAGACAAGTTACTGAAAAAATGCTTCACAGATGTAGTCAAAACAAAAATGAAACTGTCATGGGATAATATCAAAAGCGTACATATTCCTTCCATTTATATACAAGTTATGTTACACATTCCTCTCACAATGTATCGCAATGCCTAACCTTTAAAAAAAAAGAAAAGAAAGGATGTTACTCCATTTTAAAATTTTACTTGATATATTTACTTCCTCAGTGAATCACCACAGATGTCACCAAGCATCTACAGCGGTAAACTAATGTCTTTAATCATTCATATCTAGAAGGTTTAACTGAAGAACAATTACAGGCCGGTCTGAAGCCATCTGAGATCTGATTAACGTCTCATAGATGTGGAGCTCGCTGGCCAACTTGATCAGTCACTGCCACCTTTTTGTCTCTGATGTTTCGTAACAGGGAAGTGATGCAGCCTGACTAATCCGGTGGATATCATAGTCCTAAAGCTGCAAGGTAAACATTCCATGGAGCCTGAGGTCATCACTACAGGCCACTCCACTCCACAGGTTTGTGCAGTTAATTACAGTTTAATGCCTGCCTGCTCGGCGGCTGGCTGCCTCTGGGAAACTGATTAACGTGGCTGAGCAGGTTCAGGACGGCACAGTAGGAATGGGTGCTGGCCTCACCAAATGCTCTCTGCCTTATTTGCAATAAAAGTAATGATAAAAATAGTAAGACTCGAACACACCTAAGCAAAGTGCCTCCATGTAGATGAGTGTATTGCATTTCCCTGATATTGAGCACATGGGGAACCCGTGGAAGGTAGACCAGACACTCTAGCAATACTCAGTGTTGGCGAGCAACCAAATCATTGTGTGTACAGCCCTAAGGATGGTGGCATGCGCTCGGAGAAGCATACATAGAGCACAGGAAGACAGGGAAGGAGGAGTATAAATGTAAGGGACCAGCGGGTGCTACTTACAACAATGTGTGCAGGAGATGGAGACCTGGCATCTTTAAGTGCTTGTCTGCTCTGCAGACTTCCTGCTTGAACATCTAGCAAGGGCCATTTCATCTGCAGGTACTGAGTGGCAGAAACAAACAAGATGGGAAAGAAAGAAAAAACATGTTAACAATGCAGAAAGCAAAAAAAAAGGAAAGTGACCGAGTGCATGACTCAAATAAACAAACAAAACAGGTCTGAATAAGAGTCTGGAGGAATGATGGCACGTGATGTGGAGGAGAGACGATGAAAGGTTGGTGTCTGGTGAAGATTCCCAGCGTAAAAGGGCTGAGCTCTTGGACAAGGCCGAAGCCATTTTCAATGACATCTGAGTCTCCAAGTACACTCACTTATGCTGGTTAGGACACTTATGAAATGTTTACGTAAAGGCTGGTTAAGGTTTGCAGTGGGGGAACTCGGTGATATAGCTACAGCATTATTGCATGGCTAGGCACAGAGTGTAAGGGGGGAACCAGTACAACTGGAAACACGGATGGAGCCCAAGCCTACGGCAACTAGGAGGTAGGGCATGATCACAAGCCATCCACAAGTTGGGTGAGATATCACAAGCCACCTGTCTGCATCTCCCCTTGTGCCTTCTCAGGTGAATCATTAACACTTCTTATCAGGTAGGTAAGACAGCAGAGGGTAAAAGCAGGCTCCTCTGGCCCAAGATTGTGACCTACACGTCGCAAGCAAGAGGCAACTCCTGAACCAGAGGACGTGGGCCATCTTCACTTTGCCCTGACCTCAAAATTAATGAGAAAGCCACAAGCAACCACTTTCAGAGTTATTGCATGTTTCCTTATCATCACCCACAAACAGCTGTATCAGTACAGTGAAAGACCAGGGGCTGTGAACACCACCATTTTCTCCTGCTTCACTCTTGCATTGACATGTCTAGAGACTGAGAGATCTCAGGTAAGATCAGCCTTGTTGGGAGAAAGATCTCCTGCAGAGCAACATTCTCCATACAATGAAATTGAGTATGAGTAATGTACCTGAAATGAACCACCAGTACCATGGTGAGCAGGTATCCACAGAAATCAGGGATACCTCCTCAAGACTGGCTCAGTACTGTAGAGGATGCAGGGTCCAACTGAGCCGCACAGCCTGTAATATCAGAAGGCCTTTAGTCACACCTATTCTGAAAGTCAGCCCTGATCCATGTACAAACAGTGCCCGCAAATGGACTGCTGCAGCACCAATGCCTGCAGGGGTGTCATGAAGGCCAGAAACCCTGGACACATAAAAATAACATAAACACATCAATTAGTCAGTCATGCCTTTCTGCACCATACTGCACACTGACATCTCGCCCTGAGCTACAGGGCTGCTTTGAGTGCCATGACAATCATTTAATAAACCAAAGCAAAAAATGCACATTTTTGGTTAAATCCAAAAATCAAATGGTTATTTAGTATGGAGTTTATTTACCATGTTTTAAAGTTCTGTTGTAATCAGAGAGCTTGCACATCTTAAATTCACCTTCGACTAACACGTGAACTTATGATAACAAAACTAATCACTAAAACAAGATACTGCCGGATCTGTGGCACCTGTTAAGTCTGTCCTGACATCACTTTCCAGAAAGTCAATCAGAGGTGTTTTTTTTTTTTTTTTTAAGTTTTCCACCTACTTCCACCTGTCCAATCCAAATGAACAGAGTGTCACAGCTGCAACCAGCAGAGCCCTGCCTGTGCACAGGCATGCGTCACAGCACTCGCCAGCCTCACAGGACTTGCCTGTCTGTCGCTGACCCTTGAACTTTGAAAAACACTCATGTTTCGTGCTGGCAGCTCACATAAGACCTCGTTAGACACCATCATCTCCCTTCTCACAGGGTCCTGGCCCCCACCCAGTGATGGCAAACCTCCACAGATCAGGTTATCTTCAACCCCTCCAATAGTCTGCCTTGAGTCTGTGTTAAAGTTGCATTAAATAAACCCTCAGTGCTCTACATACTGGACATATGTAAAGCATGAGCATAACAGCTGTACCGGTCAGACCACAGAGGCGGTTTATGCAGAGATTACACCCAGATGAAAAGGCAATTATGTATAGAAATGTTTCCACAAACCTCACCTTAGGGTAATTTCAAATAAACCAATTTCATGTATATCAATTTTTTGTCATTCATAATAGGCAAATAAACTAAAAATCCTTTGCAATTTTTATCATTTGAATTTTACTAAAACATTAGTAGCATTATTCCAGAGAGGCACAATAAAAAGAGAGGAAAAAGAGAAAGACAACACAAAGAAAGGAAAAATAAGGAAGAGCTGGTCAAGAGAACGAGATTCTGCTTATTTCTGGACCTTGGGAGTACAGGATCCCCAGCAGCCTGCAGCTCAAAACATGAAAAATGGATTTTGAGTAAATTCAACATAAAAATGTATTGCATTTTTTTCTCTGGAAATATATGCCTCTCTATACTGCCCAGAATCCCTGGAGAAAACTTCTGACAAGTGGGCTGGCCTTGTATCTTTGCCTCCGAAGCAACAGGGACATCAACCACTGGCTAGGAGTTGAGCCAAAAGCAGGCCTGACCGCAAGCCTGAATGTTATCATCCCTGCACTGCTGTTCTCCATCTCAATCTACCCAATAGGCCTGCAGTCTTTTTGCATTTCATCCAAATTTTAGCCCTCAAGAAAAGTAAGGCAGAGCTTTATCTTAATTATTTACGTACGTACAAGGAAAAAAAAAAAAGCACTTTGCTGTCAATTCCTCCCCAGCTGTTAGCTTATTCAAACCAGACGAGCTGTTACGCAAGGCCATAAATCTCCTGTCGCAAACGCAGAAGACCCCGAACCCTGTAGGCCATCCCAGGCTTACTCCTGAGAGGTAAACTGGCAGCACGTCCTGCTCCTGATTTCAGATGCTGAAGCACGCTAACAGCTTTGTACTGCACCTCTAAGGTCAACCAGCAGCAGAAAGGCCAGCTCCACAAAAGCAGAATTTCCTGCATTGTTGCTTTTTTCCTCCAATTATCGTCTTGCTGGTTTTCAGCAGCGATGAGGTGGCAGCGGTTGCTTCTTTCGACGTCGTGAAACCGCGCGTCTGACCACATCAAAAGCCAGAGTGCTGACTTATCATTATAGAACCCAAGCAACACCACAGAATAGCCCATAGCATAGTCAGTCGGTACCCAATCTCCTCAAAGGCATCTAACACTGAAAGTGTGTGGGTTATGTATATATTACATTGCGGGGACAAAATGTGAAATAATAACCTGCTATTTTGATGGTGTGGAGACCTTTTTTTTAATCCCCACAAGGGGAAACTCAGTTTTATAAAAATCTGTAATTGCGATCAAAAAACTGTGTGTGTGTTTCTGTATGCGTGTGTGTGTCTGTGTTTGTGTGTGTGTGTGTTTGTGTGTGTGTGTATGCGTGTGTGTGTGTATGCATGTGTTTGTATGCGTGTGTGTGTGTATGCGTGTGTTTGTATGCGTGTGTGTGTATGCGTGTGTGTATTTGTGTGTGTATGTGTTTATGTGTGTGTGTGTGTCTGTGTGTTTGTGTGTGTGTATGCGTGTGTGTGTCTGCGTGTTTGTGTGTGTGTGTCTGCGTGTGTGTGTGTCTTTTTGTGTGTGTGTATGCGTGTGTGTATTTGTGTGTGTCTGTGTTTATGTGTGTGTATGCGTGTTTGTGTGTGTGTGCGTGTTTGTGTGTGTATGCGTGTGTGTGTCTGTTTATGTATGTGTGTGTCTGCGTGTTTGTGTGTGTGTTTATGCGTGTCTGTGTCTGTTTATGTGTGTCTGCGTGTGTGTATGTGTGTGTGTGTATGCGTGTGTGTGTGTCTGTGTTTTTGTGTGTGTGTTTGTATGCTCCTTCTCCCCACATCCTTCTCAGAAACACACAAAGCTCAGCTCCCTGGCCCAAAAGCTTCCGACCACGAGAGGAAAACCACAAACAGGGTTTTGCCCAAACTGGGAATCTCACAGATAAACTAAAATGCGGATGGAAGACACTTCAGATTTAGAAACTGGGTACAACCAGGAAAAGAAAAGTAGATTAGGGGAGATCCTCAAATCTTGTATTCTTGCAAGTCCTGTTCAAAAGGTCTGCTGTAGGGATCTGGCCGTGGAGACAAACCCAAGCGGTGAGCCAGCTTTGGGGACTAATTGTAAACAGGATTTCTGGAAAAACAACTGTGAACACTGACAGGTGCTGGTCAGGTAGACCAAAAAAATTACCCAGTCATAGCTCACTTTTTAAAATATCTGTACAAGGGTTAGGGTTAGGTTTGAGGGTTAGGGTTAGGGTCTGAGCCGTAGACTAAGGGACTCCCACACAGCTTGACCCAAATGCTAGCACTGCAGCCATAGCGAAAGGACGCAAATGAAGCTATGGAGGGTAACAGAGTCGAGCTCACAAGGCTGCCGGGGGAAGAAGGCCTGTTTTCACTACAGATGACTGTCTGCATCGGCTGTGTTTCATCACAAGGAAGCCAGGAAGCTCACCCTGGCCAGACCCGTCTGCCAGTCCGTCAGCAGTGAAACGCTACACTGGTGGGAGGGGCCACCCTGGCAGGGCAGACATGTACTGACAGGCATGTCTGATTCAGACTGGTATTGCAAGTGTTCCCCTCACGCTAATCCCCCTGCTGGTTTTACAAGCATGCCAGGGGGGAGTGGGCCTGCCAAGATGCAGCCCTGCCCCCAGAGCCCGTCCGCCTGGCCTCCAGCTGCCCCAAGCCCCTTCAGAAACAGCCCCAGCCCACACCTGCCCACTACCCTGCATGCTACTCGTGGGTCATGAACCAGGGCCGCACCCTGACACAGCCTCCCCCCCCTTCTTCCTACCCGACACCCTCTCATGAACTAGGGCAGTACCCTGACACGGCCCCCCTCCCCCTTCCTACCCCACGCCCTCCCTTCTCTTGCAGTCTGCACCCTCCCCCACAGGCCCTGCAGGCCCTACAATGGCAGCTGAATGACTCAATTGTCTCTGATGAAGTGAAAGACAAGGGACTCCTCTAAATCCTTGCTAAGGGATGAACTTTCTCTCGCCTCCCAGAGCTTTCCCATCGACAGCAGTAACTCACAAAGAGCAGAGTGTGTCTTAGGGGGACAAGGACAGCTTGCCTGCCCCACAGCCAATCCAGACAGCCTCAGCCTGGTCTGCTCCAGAAGCTCTAGGAGCAGGAAGGACTTTCTCTCAAAGTGCTTCCTTAAAATACAAGCTTGGCATTTCTCTTTTGCCCTCCCCCCCCCTGATCTTTTTTTGGTTCAGGGACACCTCTCTGGAGCGTGACCCAGGCATATAGGAGCTGTCATCGAAACAGTAACAAGTGAGTACAGAGCCCTGAAGATGGGCGCCCCCTAACGAAAGATGGTATAAACATTGGAGTGCTTAATGAATGACGAAAAATAAACTTTCAATCTAAAAAAAGCAGGGAACCTCCAAGGGGCCCAATACAAATGATGCAATACCAAGGCAGGCAAGCGAACGGTACCAACATTCTCATGGTGTCTCATGGCTGTTCAGCTTTGCCCACAGAGGTTTGCGTAACTGGGTGAACAGAGGTTTTCCAGCATTACGATATCATTCTGCCATTTTGCCACTGTAAGCTGCAAATATTAAGACACATTATGACCACATCTTCCTCTTCCTTATAAATGCCTTTTCAGGTCATGTGCATGTGGAACAATCTCATCTTAGGGTCCAAAGTCTTTATTCAGCTCCCAAACACTGCAATAATGTGTACAGCAAACTGGCTGCCTGTTTTACACTGTAAGAGCGTAGAGCAGCTTGTTGACATCATTGGTGGCACAGTATGAAAACAGCATGTCAGTTATATGAAAAAGGCTGCCCTAGTCATGTTAAAAACCTCCACTGATTTCCAACCCATCTGTGAACTGGTTAGTGGCCCTGCCGTTCACATCTCTGGTGCCGGGGCGAGGCTGGCGCCAGCGTGTGTGACATGCCCGCTGGACTGTCACGCTGGCTGTCTCCTGGAACACCTCCCTCCCACACAGGATCACGGCGTGCAATTACAGTAAAATGAAAACCTGTTTATAATCTAAATGAGAACAGACCGTTATTCCATGAACGTAAGCACTTACTTTTGGCCAGACAGTAACTACGGCACTGGATCTCTTGCTGGTAACCTGCACCAGTTTTGAGATGAAACCCACTTTTAAACAATAGTTGCTAATGGGCGAGGAGGGCCAAGCACACAGGATCTTCCTCTGCATTTGCTCAGGCTGAACCAGTCAGCAAGCCAATGCACAGCATTTCCACCCCACTGGGGTTATGTATCGCCAGCTGTGCCTCTGGCCGTTTCCCATCATCTTCCTTACAGGTGCTGGGACAAAAACTCCTAATAGAAGCGGGAGCTGCAATTTTCTGTAATTGTGGAGAGAGAAAATAATAATACAATGGAGAGTCTTTGAAGACGAGGCTCCGCCTGCCCAGCCCGCCACCGCCCAGCTGACCGCGTTTGGAGCCTTCCGTACTTCTGCCATCAACATTAAAAGGAGGGCATTATTTCTGAGCGCTCTGTTCGAGGGAGGAACTACTACGGCAGCAGGAGAGAGTGGCCAGCAGAACCAGAAGTCCAGATGAAACCGAAAGTTAGGCTACATGAGGGCTCTTCACAGCTGCTTAGTTCTTCTAATACACAATTTATGAGTAAATAAAAAAAGAATTTGGGGGGAAAAAAAAATCCACCAATTCTAATAGCCAGAGGCATTTCTGCAACCAGGAAAATAAAACTCGAAAGTGGGAAGGCCTCCGGTTTCTGTGCCCCGGGGCAGGGGAGCCTCCACTGGGCCACGTTTGCTCTAAAGCCAGAACCACTGGGGGTTCTGAAAGCTGACGGCATGGGGCCATGGGCAGCTCTCCTGCTTTCGACTCCTCGCCGTGTGCACTCTGCGCTTCTTTAACCTCTACCTTACCCTCTCCTCAGCTTTCAGAGAGCAAAACTTTTTTCCAAGTGTTTTTTGGTGGTGTTTGGTTCTTCACCCCGTATCTCCCCATCTCACTCAGTCCCTGACCATTGTTTGTTTCCAAAGGCGCAAACTAAACCACGCATGAGGGGTGTTTTATTAGAACAACCTGCTGATCAGGGTTAAATTTACCTCCATCCCTGAGCTGTTAGTCTTGCTCAACATGACAAGCCAGGGAACACTGTGAGCACAAAAGCTGTCATCAAGCCTGGCTGTTATCTATCTGTATTTGTTTAACAGGTGTGGACAACACACTATGTAAACACAAAAAGGTTACCCGTATCCTTAAGATACTGTATAACGCTAATTTCAATTTGGTGGAAAAACATGGCAAATAAGCTCTATACATTAACACTTCAGTCTTTGCTAAACGGGTAACAATGTAGTCTATCCTTGAATGACAACAGCATGTAGGGCTGGAACAGAGCTGCCACTTTGCAGACGCACATCCTCAGTCTAGACAAGCTCTTTTTCAACAGCCGTTTACCAGCACAAAGACAAAAAAGCTCCCTCTACTCTTACCATATGATTTATACCAAAATCTAAAACTAAGATGTCAAAAACAACACAGGCGCTGCTTTTTGGCCACGGGCGGCAGATGCCAGAGAAGGAGAGGGGTCCTGACGGCCAGGCACAGCAGCGCTCCGCATTCACGGAGCGGCGCAGGAGGTGCAAGCACGCGCCTGCCGTCAGAGTCTGCAGAACTGCAGCACGCAGCCCAAAGACACCAGTTGGCTGCCATCTCCACTCCGTTTCCACACTGGTAGGCCAGATTACACCACCCTGCCAGACACATGCCACAGGGATTAGAATTATCATTATTTTTTTAAACCCAGAACCTCATGTCTAATGGTAAAGACTCTCAATAGGTCACATTTGTCTGTACACAATGAACAGGAACACAAGAAGGAACTAAAAATAGAGGAATGGCTCAAAGGACATGGGAGTCTTACTGGCCGTAACATATGCTGCGTTCCATTTGAACTCGTAAATCGGAAATTCCAAGTTCCTAGTCGGAAATTACAACTGGAACGCCCCCTCAAGTCGGAATTCTGACTCGTGGTGTCGAAGGAGTCTACACAACCCAGACCATTATCAACAGAAGTTAAAGCTGTAGTTCTGTATTGTTTATTAGCATTTAACTCTTATTTGTGGCTCATTAAATCTGTACACACCGTACTGTCCAACTGCTATCTGTGGACGTGTTAATACAGTATTTTTATGAGTAAAATTCCATGTAATGTTTTCGTTATCAACTGGTATTGCTAACAGTTGCTAACAATGAACCTGGCTAGAACTGGGGCCTGTTTCAGAAACCAGGATTTCTTTCTTAGCCAGATAACATGTGGGATTTAAGGTAGTCTGGGCTAAATGTAAGTGAATGAAGATAAAGCCCATTTAAACTGAGGTACCTTAAATCTGACAAGTTGTCAGGCTAAGAAAGAAATCCTGCTTTAAGAAACAAGTCCCTGGTATTGTTAAATGGCTTTCCAATTTGTTGTACTGGAATGCGATTAACTCGTCATTTCCAGCTCCGAATTCTGACCTATGAGGTAAATGGAATGTAGCATAAGAATGTGGCAACTGGGCTTCAGCTTTGCCTTATGAGCAGAGTGTCACTAATTTTGCACAACATCCACATGAAAACACCTCTCAATGGGGAGCCCTTAACACAACTAAGGTTGAGCAGCAAGAGGCACTATGTGCTGTCAGTCAGCCCCTGATACAGCTCTTATAAGAACCAACCCATCATAAGGTTGGTCCTTCCAAAGGCCACAATGGCCAGACTTTTTCTTTTAAAAAAAAAAGGGGGGGGCCCTGCCCCTCATTCAGACTTGACATTCAGGAGCCAGTTCCCTGGAAATGATGCATGCTGCTCCTGGAAGCGAAAAGAAGCAGTGAAGGACATGAGCGTCCTAACTGCCTGCAGTAGAACCCTTGAGGGCTGCACTCCACCTGACCTGCACCAGGAAAGTATCAAGCAGTAAAAATCTGTAGAAAAGTGCTCTGGATAAAAGCTTTAGCAGAACAACAAAAATGTAAATGTGAGCATGTGGAGCGTGGCATGGTGACAAGAGCGGGACAGCACACCGTTAAAGCCAGGTGAAACTTGGAATTCATGAGAGAAACAAAGCTTAAGCTCCAGGGAAAGCAAGCGGTCACGGATCGTGCATCTTGTTCTCACTGCACCAAACAAGCGACAAAACGAGTATCTGCTCCTTGCCACAGAGCTGCGACACAGCCAGTGCATGTGGAACAGAAATTCCCATGTAGCGTATCTAATAGATGCGGCCACTGAGCCCCGCTCCCTCGAGTCTTCATCTTGGACGTGGTGGGGAGGAAAGGCAAATTAATAAATAAATAAAAATGAATAAAAGGCCACCAGTTATTAGCGCTCATTAAAATGTAAGATGCTTCACTGACAATGAACCCCAGGGGAGGTCAGCAGGTTGTTGCATTTTTTTCTCAGCCATTGCTCCACTCCCCCTCTCCTGCTCCCCACGAACGAAACCCCCTAACCTCTGCATCAACTCTCATAATGACTCCTGGTCGTTGCCGCTGTCCTCCTCCTCCGCCCACGTACCAGCTGATACCCACACGACCCCTCATACCCTGTTGCAGTTTGGCTTCACCCGCACCTCTGCCGGGTCCCGGCCAGGCTGACATTCGCCCATCCGGATGATCCTACATTCGGCTAATTACAGCAACGCTCAATCTGCAACCGTAACCCTTCAAAACTCGCAAACCCCCTCAACTCCTTGTCCACAACCACCACCAGCAGACATCACAACACCAGCCAATTATTGATGAATCTTTAATATGTCCTTTGACTGTCTCATCGCCTATGACAGAGGGGTCGTTCCATCATAGGCAATGAGGGATAAACAAAGTGGTAAATTCCTTACAGAGGCACCATCTCACAGTGGTTTAAGTAGCAGTTTTCAGGACACCAAGCGCCTACTCTGAGAGACTCATTCCAGCCCTTTGGCTCTTTCATGGCAAGACTTTGTCCCCGGACATCACACTCCCACATGGGAGAGGCGTCTCATGTCCCTCCTGCCACCCACTGGCAATTCTCCTGGCATCTTCATTAAACTTCCTGTTATTCTATTACTGTACTTGAACCTCAGTCAGCGATGGAGCCGCCCCTTCGCCATGTTACATTTGAAATCTGTACTATAATCAAGTAAAAGGACAGTACAGTACCAAAAACATTAAAATAAGGGTATTCTGAACAATCTAAGAACATCTTCCCAGGAGCTCTGCTCATTAAAGGAATGTTGAGATCCAGTGTGATTGACAGAGAGATGAGACGGAATTCTGTGCTGCCAGTTGGACCATGCAGACTAGATAATGATGGGCACACACTATGAGGGCCCTGCCACACCAAAGAGCTCTGGACACCAGTGCTAATTACTGCAGAAATATCTTCATCATACATATACGTATTTATGCTGAATAAAACACACCAAATATCTTCTGAATCTAAGGCACATTAAAATATATCGGTAGCCCAGTAAACCTTTGTAGATTCTACAGCTTCCCATAGGCAATATGCCAACAGTCTGCCCTGAAACAGCTGACAAGACAGAGACCACTGTCCATGACACACAGGTGTCACACAGCCAAAGCCCTGGGCCCTCGACAGGTCCCCTCTGAAATCAGGCTATGGTGAAGTCTGCCTATTAATTACACTCATTTATTTATGCCTGTAGTGTGCAGCTTAAAAAATATAGAGTGTGTGGATATAGATTTCACAGCCCTGCTTCCCCTCTCAGAGATGGGTCCTATAAAGGTTAACACGCTTGGGAACAGAACCTGGATACAAACTGTATGTTTTTGTCAGCTGAAGTGAGGTGAGGCAGTACAGCAGCAGCAACGGTGGGGGGGGGGGGGGGGGGGGGGGGGGGGTATGGGAGAGGGGAAAAAAGAGAGAGAGGGAGAGAGAGAGAGAGAGAGAAAGCCCTCAGCCAAGCCATCAAGTTGAACATTGAACTTCACAGTAGTGGCTGCTTTCTCTGCCTTCCTTTTGATGTTACCTCCAAAGCAAAAGATCAAAGGCTTGGAGTGTGGCGTGGGGAAGTCCCAGGCTCTTAGCCTGCCAGCCTGTGATATATGCAAAAGTCTATGCCAAAAAAAAAGACAGCGAGAGAGGCCAGTGAATGAGGGGGAGAGGGCGAGAGAGAGAGAGAGAGACTGCAAGCTTGCAAGGAATGTGGTTAAATAGTTCATTTTAACGGAGGGAATGCCCACGTCATGCAAGCAAAGCCGGGGTGGGGCGCGGCAGGTTGGGGGTTAAGGGCTCCATCAGCATACAGGACTCCCGTGTTTGGTGGAACAAGCAATAAACCCACTGAGCATATTGTACTGAAGCAGTCTACAATGTACTGTAATGCAAATGCACGCATGCACACACCCACCACACAGGTTTATCATTATATCTTTGTGGGGACTCTCCATTCATTTCTATGGGGAAAACTGTAATCCCAACATGACGAGCTTAACCCTACCCAGCCCTAACCTTAACCATAAGTAACCAAACAAAACATGAGACTTTTGCCATTTCCAGTTTTTTGATTGCATTTGCAGATCTTTGTGGGGACCTGAAAAAATGGTCCCCACAACGTAAAAATAAAAGGTTTTTATTACAGTGTTGAGGACATTTTGTCCCCACAATGTAATATAAAACACAAACTCACACACACACACAACCCTAACCCATTCACTGCAGACACACCTGAGAGACAGCTGTGTGGCCAGAGCTAGCTTGGTGCACAAGACTGGCTGCCCCTATTCCAAGGTCCCACAACTCTGCAAGCAAACAGCAACCCGAAACCAACCATCAAGAAAAAACAACAGCAACATGGTGTTTGGGGCCTGCACCAGACCAAGTACTGTAGGGGACGGTGTTGGTGGGGGTTGAGGTCAAAGGTCACAGTGAAAGAGGTCAGGTTACACAGTCTTAAGGAGTCATGGGCCTGGGAAGTAAAGAAAAAAAATGCAGTTACAATGGTGCTACTGTTGGCAGGGTGCAGGGCGGAGAGTGGGGAGAGGAGGGCACACTTAGAACATGGCGGGATCCCGTTTCAGCACAGCTGTCATGCTGCCCTGCGCTTTCACTGCTTTATATTTCCTTTTTTTGTTGGGTGGGTCGGCATGGAGAAATGAAACCTGAACCAGGAGAACCTTTAAATGTAAACGTAATCCTGAAAGGCAGTAAATATGGTCTTCAGGTTAAATATATCTGAGTATTGTATAACTATATATCAGCCCTTTGGTATTCGATATTTAAAGAGGTGGACCTTGTCCATGGGCAAAAAGCTATCTCCAAACTTCAAGCCATTTTGCAAAAAGATGAAAAAAGTCACAATCACTTTATGAAAGAAGTGCAAATGAAGGGCGACGAGAATCTACAGGCAGACGCCCCTGTGCAGGGAAGCTGTGTCACTCTGCTAATGAGCAGGATAACCACCAGACACCGGGCCGTGGCTCACACCATATCCATCACCGATGGGTAAAAAGAGGGAAAATGAGAGCGAGAGTAGAGAGAGAGAGAGAGAGTGTACAGGAAGAAAAATCACAAGAGTAACATGGAAGTGCAAAGAGCGATTAAGGATTTACTTTCAAAAGGCTTCCATTGATCGTTTCTGATAGACCTGCGATAAATCAAACTACACTGAGTCACATGAGAAGGGAGCCTAATCCCTTAGTCAGATCCAGGAGAACTCAAACCAAACCAGCTGTTAATTTGGGCTTTACAAGATAAAGCATCTGAAAGCCAACCTGATGTACCCTAGGGCAAAGGTTTACATCATCTCTGAAAAGCAATCAACTCTCTGCCAGTCTGGAGAGGTAATCAGAGTGCATGCATTGGGAGAGAAAGGAGGGGGGCTGGGGGGGCTGAGGTATGCAGAATAAAAGTGCAAATGAGGAAGAGCGGATGGCAGGAGTCAAAGCGAAAGAAGCAGCACGTCCTTGAAGGCGCCACAGAAACCACAGCAGCGGAGCACCCTTTTCACAAAAGAGCGAAAGTGAGGGGCCACTGGCTAAACACAAACACAAACAGCCAAAGCCATACCCAGGGGAGCCACTGCAGACCTCCACCCTCATTTCTCCCAAGTGAGCCAGTCATTTTCCTGTCCCCATCCTCATGGCTTGCGCTACCTCTTGCAAAATATGGCAGCCCGCTGTGTGGCGACACTATAATTAAACAGGTTTATTTTAGTTTTT